AAGTGGGCCACTTCCATCTTGGTCCTCGGTCTCCCCATTGTCTGGATTCGATGCACTGCGTCCTTAAGCCGTTTGTCAACCCTATATGGACCTTTCCAGTTACTCTGTTGTTCGGAGGTGAATCCTTTCTTCGGCTGCGGCATGTGCAACAACACCGAATCACCTTCCTGTAGCTCTTCTCGGCTCGATGCGCTACTGGACATTGCTTCCAGCTTATCTCCGGTGGTGCACCATCTCACATGGTCGTGCTTCTGCCGGCCACTGGTGGTGACCAGACCATGTCTCTTCTCATGGGCACCCTTTTCGCCAGATCTATGCCGCATCATCTGTCCATGACACCGAGGCTCCTGCCTTCGTGCTGCACTGCCTTTAGCACATCTTGCTAAATCCGGTTCCTCACGCTGAAACTTGCCCAGTGTTTCCGCATCTCGCTCCATCTCCGCCGTCAACCTCATTGACCGGACATGTATTACCTCATCCTTAGCTTCCGGCTTAACTGCTCGCCTTTGCCGGCCACCTTTTCCGGGACACTTCAAAGCGCGCCTACTGCTTTCACAGCCGATTCCATTTCCGGCCACCGGCGTATCACCATTGCAACGTGGTTCAGTGGCTTTCCTCCTGCCGGAAACACTGCCTGGCTCGCCATGACCACTTCCTTGTTGTGACCTCTTCTTCACTGAGCTGGCAGAACCGTCACGCTTTTCCTGTATCGGTGAACCGCTTCCTTCTCCAGACGAAACCTCTCCGTTACTGCCAACCTCCGCCCATCTAATCGCTTCCGTTTCTGGTGGAATCTTCGACACTTCCTCTAAGACTAACCGTCTGCTGCAGCACTGGCTGTCGTAACCAACCCTAAGTGGCACTTTCCTGTGACGATCTGTCAGGATCATTCTCTGGAGGTCAATCTTCATGCCTTGGCCAAGTAAGAAATCCACGCCGATGATGACTTCATCCACAATGTCTGCCACTATAAACTTAGTGTACGAGGCCACATCGTCGATTATTACCTCGCATGGTACTTCTCCTAATACTTGGGTGCATTCACCAGTTGCAGTCTGCAGCTTTGCTCCAGGTAGTGGCTTCACATAAAAAGTGGCCAAATCCGGTCGAATAATGGAATGTGTCGCTCCAGTATCCACTGTCAGTACTCTCTCCTGCCCATTCACACATCCACCAATAGTGAGGTTGCTCGCATTCCGGCCAATTTGTGAGACGGAGATTATGGGCCCTTCAACTTCTGGAGCCAGCACGCGGCCCTTCCTGCTGGCTCGTTTCAGTTTAACGACTGATTGGAGTTGGCTTCGTCTCCTTCAGCCCTGCGTTTGCGTCCTGCTGAATTGTTGAGC